TGTTGTATCATCTTGGTCACGGCTACAGCAATACCTAGAGTTTGGTAATCCATGCACGTGACCCCACATCATGCAAAAAACCGTTTTCCAAAAAGCGCGCCACGTCCTGAAGCGACCTCCCTGGTGAGCGCGGCCGCGGTTTTCCAAATGTTTTATGAATTCTGCTTCTTCGACTTTTTTCACTTTTGCTAGTTGCACACACACTTCAACTGAAAAGGATTGGTACCGATACAGATCTGACTCCGCCCACTTCACAATGAAGTGACGTAAGTTCTGAATTTTTATAACTTTTTCGACGTCGTTTTTTTCACATTCAATCTTCACAAAACGAATATAGCCATGCATTTACACACTAGCACACTAGGCCCCCCCTCTGACCACGCCCACTTTCGTTTTTCGCGGAATTTTGATTTTTCTTCCGAATTTTCACTTTTTTAGGCTGTGACAAGCGGCCCCGCCCACTAATGGAAGCTCCGCCCACTTTTCAAAAATGATGCAGATCGGCGAGCTAGTGACCGTACTAGCAGGTTATGGCCTCTCCCGTCACCCGGAACAAAGTTTCCCTTTTTTGTGGTTCCCTTTTTTCATTCTATGTGACGTGACGGTGACGGGAGAGGCCATAACCTGCTAGTACGGTCACTAGCTCGCCGATCTGCATCATTTTTGAAAAGTGGGCGGAGCTTCCATTAGTGGGCGGGGCCGCTTGTCACAGCCTAAAAAAGTGAAAATTCGGAAGAAAAATCAAAATTCCGCGAAAAACGAAAGTGGGCGTGGTCAGAGGGCGGGGCCTAGTGTGCTAGTGTGAATGCATGCTATATTCGTTTTGTGAAGATTGAATGTGAAAAAAACGACGTCGAAAAAAGTTATAAAAATTCAGAACTTACGTCACTTCATTGTGAAGTGGGCGGAGTCAGATCTGTATCGGTACCAATCCTTTTCAGTTGAGTGTGTGTGCAACTAGCAAAAGTGAAAAAAGTCGAAGAAGCAGAATTCATAAAACATTTGGAAAACCACGGCCGCGCTAAGAAGTGGGCGGGGGTGTTGGGGCGGGGCTTGCAACAGCAGTCTAGTTCTCAACTGCCTCTAAGGGGTGTGTCCGATTTGGTTTGGAAAGTGTCCGAGTTGAAGTCTAAATGGTATATACACTGCGTGTTATAAAAACAGGAACACTCCAAATCTTTACAAACCCACGTTGTCGGGCATTTTGGGAAAATGCCGGCAAAAAAAGAAGTGCCTTTTTATTAGAGAAATCTAAGGCCAGGACACGTTTTCCTGGAATAACTTCATCTCTAATAAGCCCAAATATGAACAACCTCGGAAACTTGAGCCCACTCACAAAAACTGTCATTTTCTATCAGCGGGGGGTAACCCTAATAAGAGGCCCCGACGCTGCAATAGCAGCACAGATCCGAGGAATGCGTGAGATTCGGGTAGGAGTCTTTGTTGAAGCGAAACTCTTATCATCACTTCAGTTATCTTTCTGATAAGTTAGACCACCACATCTGTAAGCTGAGCAAGAATGAAATCTAAAGTGCTATACCTGCGCTCAGATGGTGTCACATGCCGCTCGAGGGCTCTCGCAATAACCAGGAACTGCTCTGTTGAAGCAACCTGAATCGTAGTTGTCGTAAGAAATTTTCCACGGCAAGCGGTCACTTCGCTTACCTTCAAACCTGCATCAGCTATGCACTGCCTCACAACGAGGGGATGCCTCCGAAGGAATGAATAGAAGTTGAATATGTCAGAAAGTGGTGTTTGTAAACTAGCTTTATCAAGGTGTGCTTCTTGAACGAGCGTATGAGCTGCTCTCGAGTAATCCTTCAGTAACCAGCACGCCATAGATCGCAAAAAAGGATCTCTAAACATGAGTACATACAGAGCAGCGGGCATGAGTTGCCAAGGTTTACAGGCGAATGGTTTCATCCTCCCATGAAACAACGGAGGTACGTTGACAGAGTCTCGAATGGTGATAACGAATATGCAGATTAAAAGTGCATCGAGGATCTTCCAAACGAGTTCTGGATAGTCAAAATTTGCTATTTGCACTGCTGGCATGGGAGCACTGCTAAGCCGTGGAATGGCATGCTGCAGTGGCCTGTGATAGCGGTCTCGCTTTACAGAAGAGATAGATAGAGAGAGAGAGAAAAAGGCGATTCACTCCGAGTTGAAGCCAAAGCTTTTGCTTTACCTCCAATAAGAGCTCTCATTCCTATCTTTGGCATTTCTCCGACTTAACAACCCAACAGAGCGAGTAGGTGAAGTATCTGATGTGGCAGATTGTATATCTTAGGGTGTCCGGAAAGTTTTGAGAAGTTTCAACTAGCTCACTTAAAGGCACATTTCCGCGATAAAATAAGGCTACGATCTCTCAAATGTGTCGGACGATCCGGAAGGCGATTTTTGAGGCTGCGCTACTTTCAAAATGTGAAAAACGGCAAGAACTCCGCTAGAAGCTGACTAATTAGGCCCATGGACACCCCTTAGGCCCATGCCGACCCTCACCGGCTGCTAGCTACTAGTAGCCACTATGTTATCTTTCTCTATAACATTTCGGACTGCTTTTTCTGCTGCTTTTTTCATGCAATTTCCAGCAAAGCTCTGGGACAGCACAATACTAAGGTATTATTAGGGTGTCCGGAAAGTTTTGAGAAATTTCAACCAGCTCATTTAACACTTATCAACAACAATAAGAGATAGTAGTTCATAGTTATAATAAATATTGTCCATCCTATGTCCCTTACCTTTTGGGCGGGATTACCTTGCGTGGGAGCTAGAACTAAGCGAGTACTGAGAATGAGGGGGCGTACGCAACATCTAAGCTAAACTTCCATGGAAGAGACCGATTGATCTCCTAGTATAGATAATTTTGAAGCGCATTTTATCCAGCATCGGATACGGTTCCTCATTCCCGATTTGACCGACAAAATAGCCAGAACGGTGAAGATGAAGTAAAAGGCGTTGGGAGTCGTGCGCGCTCGTACATTTTTCAGGTAATGTCAAATCATACCAACAATGGAGAATAATAACAACCAGCATTAGTATTGATCTACAAACATTTCTCTTTCTCATAGCACTTGATATATGACTTTCTGTTGGGGCATTCGCTTGCTACACTTCTTCAAACTAAAAGTGTGAAATTTTCTCAAAACTTTCCGGACAACCTAATCACTATCTAGCCTTCGCGACACTCACAACCACTCCGCCAATAATGTAATCTTGGAGGTAATTTGACCCTCTAAAAACAAATATCACATCTGTTATCAACGAGAACGACCATCTCTCACACTGCAGTTGCGGAAGACAAGAACGTGAAAAGTGCTTGGCGCCGCTGGATTTATGGCGAACTTTCGAGTGAGGCAAAATATTTGCACCCTGGAAATTCAACTACCGCTGGAGACAAGACGAGCTAATTTGGTGATTGATTGCTTGGCGCTAACGCCGTTGCGCCGACTACAAATGTTTTCGCGTTGAACGGATGACATGTCCAGCCAGAGGGTCAAGATACCTCCAGGAACAAGTTCGTAGCCGAACTGGAATTCTGACAAGGATTGTCGGATAGAAAGTGTTTGGTAAGAGGGCAAGATGATGAACAATTCTTCATTCGAACTGACACATCAGACATTTAGATATACTTCCCGCGATCAAGGTGTTGCGGGTAGTTGGTGCTCCATCATGAACCAGTATCCCATAGGTAGCTCCTCAGTAGAAAAAGAAGCGGAAAAAACTTCGGGAACACCTTAAAACAGACTTCACCCCAGCAGTCTTGGACGAGTACGTCGGGCGCGAAGGACGCACTCGCGAACATTGCACTCCATTCGCTGTCCATAGCGACTGGAGCGCAAAGTTTGGGACCGTGGCCTTAGAGTCAGGCAAATCCTGGCCAAGCGATGCGATCCAAAGAAAAAGCTCAGTAGTAAAACTGGCCTGATGTCGGAAGAAGGAATAGTAACAATTGGGTAGTGGTCCCAAACTATCCAATTGTTACTATTCCTATTCCCATCTAGAAGATCATTAGGTGAGTCTGAAAAACACACTAACTGCTCTTCATTTCTTATCCTCCTCTTGCCATGAGTACGGAAGACGAACTACCTGCTCTTCAGATCACGTCCTTCCCATCGCTTGCAGGGTATGAAACTCAAGAAAGGTTTGCTGCTCTTTTGTTCACATCCTCCTAATTAGAATCGCGCTTGGAAAGACTATGGAACCCTAAAACAGCCTAAGCGTCTTCAATTTATGTCCAACGGTGCGAGGTTTGCGCTTAATCGCTATGGAAAGCGCGGATCACCGAAGATGGCAAAGTGCCAGAAGCGCCGCGCGCGACACGTGCCGCGCGGGTGTTGTAGGGATAGAAGCTGCTCGCGAGCCGTTGGCCTCGTCCACCTACAGTATGATGTTGCCTCTGTAGCCACGCGAAATCTCTCTAACTTCTTTATCGCGCTGTATTGAGGGATGAAAGTGGTATGTTCTTTATGAACACGTATAACAGTTCAAAAGGCACGGAGCCATTTTGAGGACCACTTGATCGCGGGGGAAATCTTTAAACTAGGCGGTTAGGTCCAGGACAAACCAACAGTTTCGCGTCGACGCGAAACAAACCTGCTTGCTCTCGCCTGTGAAGCGAGACTGCCACCGCTTGACTACGGTGGCACTGGCATCCCACCGCTCAGCAGCCAGTGATTACATGCCAACACTGCATTTACAACAAACTCTGACCACCCGAAAGTCGTCTGCGAGGTTCTCGGAGCACTTTTAATCTGCATGTTCGTTATCAGCATACGAGATTCTATCGAAGTATCTAGGTCTGTGAGACCATTCTCTTGTTGGACCATATTGTCGTGGAACTCGTTGAATTATCCACCTGCTAGCTTCAGGTGTTAGAAAACTGCTGTCGCTGTTCTTTACTCCGCGTAATCGTTCGAAGTCCTCCGGAGACTGCCCAAGTACTTCGCTAAAAACACAACTCCGCCAAAAATGGAACGAATCTCTACAAGTACTATTATTCACCGGCACAACATTTCTTTGAGCATCGACTGTTGCGCATCAACATCAGTTTCGTAGAGTCGTAAGACAATTATGGCCAACTGCAAATCCCGGCATTTGCGAAGAATTATCTAAAAAAATATTCTAGACCAAACGGAAGATTAGCAATAAAACATCTACACGGCAGAGAAAATCTGTACCTGCAGGGCATCCCTAATGCTTCCACTTAGCAGGAAAAAGGCAGCAGCATGATGAAATCGTTGCTTGCTCATAAGCACAAATGCATTTTTCGCAGCTGCCTGGAAGTCATAAAAACCATGCAATTCGTGGAGAATGTAGTAATCAGGACAACCCACATTTTTCCAATGCTCCTTGCTGAAATCTTGCGCGAAGAAATCTGCCATCTTCTGGTTTCTCACAGTCTGAAAGGTAAAAGTTGATCCGATGGAGAACAGAAATATGCATCAACGCAGCGAGGGAGGGGCTCATTAGACGAAGCAGTGGCGCTCTCGGGCTTCACAGAGTAACGTGCTTAGCGTAGAGGTGTAAAGGTTAAGGCTCTGTGATCAGACATTCAGCGCTTGACTTCATCCACCCTTTTTTCTTGTGCAGGATGAACATTATGGGACCATCCACGACAACAAATTTTTTCCTTTCTTCCTTCTTCGGGCTCCTGAACCAAACCTTCCGTCTTTCATTTCGAGAACACCATGACTCAGAGCGTCGCTTGGAAGCGATCGATGTAAGCTACGGTTACAGTAACAGTTACTCATCAGATGAAGAAGAGGAAGGCTGTCTGCAGTCCTGCGTCTTGGTCCGAGCAAAAAGGATGGCAGCTGTGGGCCAGGCATATAAAGGCACAAAGCCACGTCTCCTCATCAACAACGACTTAGCCGGACGACGGACACTACGACTACGTTTCCAGTTTTTTTTCATGTTTTCTTACGCATATCATACTTGCCAGTTTAATTACCCAAGTTTAAGATAAACAGCTTGTGCCATGCTGGTGTTTTTAGTGTTCGTTTGGTGGAGGTATCTCATATCATTATCTCGCGTGGCAGTGCTCTAGTGCCTTTGGGTAGCGACTATCCCACTACATATAATTCGCTATGTCCGTGTGTGTGTGTGTGTGTGTCTGTCTGTCTGTCTGTCTGTCTGTCTGTCACGAAATTCATAGCGAGCGTCGCAGAAAAGATAGGATGACAGTTCCAAGAAGTGATATACAGGCAGGACGGGAACACTTTTGGTGGGTGACAGGAGGTGATAACACTTGATAAGATTCGATAAGGGGCCTTAGAAGGGGAGGGTGACCGAATTCGTAGCGCAAGTTGCAGCAGCTGCGGGACCGTGATTTCAAGAACTGATGTAGGGTGGGGCTGACAGGAGCTGATAACATCTGATAAGATCCGATAAGGGACCCTAGACGCGGGTGTCATCAAATTCTTAGTGCAGTGCAGCAACCGTGGGACCTTGATTTCGAGAATTGGTGTAGGGGAAGGGAAGTGGACATAATTGGTGTGTGACAGAAGCTGATAACATCTGATAAGATTCGATAAGGGGACTTAGACGCGGAGGGTCACCCAATTCCTAACATCGGCTGCAGTGAATTGAGACCGTGGTTCCGAGATGGTATACAGGAGGGACGGGGTGGGTGACAGAATCTAATAACATATGATAAGATTTGATAAGGGACCTCAGATGCGGAGGGCCACCAAATTCGTAGGGCAGGTTGCAGGGTCTGTGGGACCTTGGCTTCAAAAAGTGGTATAGGGGGAGGGGCGGACACCCACTGAACGGGTGACACGAAGTGACTGATAAGAGTTGAAAGTCATCATGCGGAAATCCGCAACACCGCTTACAACCACAATGCGATTGATATGATCCAGGTATCAGGCTCTCAGTAGTTCGCACACAACTCACTCCTAGGCTTTATCGTTATTGACATCATGTACGGCCGCTAAAGCAACTGGAGTTCAGATGCATGACGGTTGTTTACTCAGTTGCCATGAACTGCAGCAACTAACTTTATCACTATGACCATGACTATCTTCCATCAACAACCCGAGAGAGGACCATTCGAAGCGCTAGACTGCCGAATGCGGGAGGGCATTCCAGAAAAAACCCTACAGTGGTGGAGAACGGTAGGATGCTTCGAAGGCTGCTCTTACAAGCTGCTGAATTT